GGCCCCCAGGATGGAGCCACCCACCCGTGGGGATGCACCCTCGCCCAGGCTGGGGCCGTGCCTAGGGACGGGGCTCGGGGTGACCGGGGACCACGGGGCATCTTTGGGGGCAACACTGGGATGGAGGAGACGGTGGGGGTCCCGGGAGAGGATTTTAGGGACTGGGGTTGGGGTATCCTCTCTCCTGCCCCAGCAGCCACCTCAGTCACCCGTTCGTGTCCCTGCCCTATGTCCTGCTCTGTCCCTCAAAGACTGCCCTGGGAACAGGCTCGGGAAGGGGGAGGGGGGGGGCACAGACACCCCAGCCCAGCAATTTGGAGCTGACCCGTGGGGCAGCCAGGCACCCGTCTTGGCCCTCTCCAGTGCTGAGGCTGCCCAGCAGGGCTTGGCCAGCTCCCAGTGCTTGCACAGGGCTGGGCTGGGTGCGTTTTGAGGCATTTTCAGCATTTCCTGACAGACAGAGCCATGAGTGGGGCCGGGCGGGTGAGCCCGAGTGGCGGCGAGGGATGCTCGGCAGGGTGGTGCAGGCACCACGTTGAGTGAGGAAAACTGAGAAAAGGGACGGATTTGTGGGTGCCAGACTGAAATCTGGGGTAGTGGGAAGCTTCGGTGAAGGTTTTGAGGCTTTTGAAGGCTGTGAACAAAGGGACCCTGTACCTGGACTGAATCCCACCAGGCAGCCTCAAGGGCACAGCTAGAGAGTACTGGGGCTGAGGAGGGTTGTTTCTGGGGGAAGCAGAGGATGTTCCCCCAAAAAAAGCCTACAGCCTTGTAGCTTCTACACTGCCCATAAGGACAGGCTCCATCCCATGAGCCCCTGGTCATCATCTGCCTCCCATGACCTTGAAAGAGGCACTGGCTGCTCACAGCCACCAAAGCTGGGACAAGGGAAATGGTTTTGGAAATATGGAAAAGTTTAACTTGCTGGGATAAATCTTTCCTTTCCAGAACATTTCTTTTAACATCATCACCTCTCATGTCCAATTGTCCATCACTTGGTATCACGTTGACATATCAACTCAGTGTTTTGAAGATCTGACAAGCATGGAATGAGTGGAACAAATTGATTACCCTTGCTGGGCAATAGGGAAAACAGGGGGGGAAAGCAGATGAACCATTTATCCAAATCTTTTTGGGCATACCATGAAGCTTGGGAATCAAAATCTGATGATCCCACGTTATGAGTGATGTGACACCAGCCCAATGCCCCAGTCCTCAGCAACATGGAAAGCTGTCAGAGGGGGAGCCAACAGCAAATACAAAATGCTGATGCTAATCATATAAGATTGAAGGCCGATACTGCTATTGAGTGGAGCAGACAAACCTTATAAGCTTAGATATCTGTCAGGAGAGAAGCAAATAACTTACTGTATGAAACGAGGCCTTTTAGGGAAGGCTGCTCACCCTTGCCAAAGCCATGGGGATAATGAAAATAGGACAGCTAAATTTAACAGCAAAATGACTTGTAAAAGAGTCACTTATAACCTTCCCTCTGGTACTTGGAGTCAATAAAATGGTTATAGCATGGACTTAGCTAAAATACTTTCCACTGGGAGATAATATGCATCTCCCATTTTAGTCTCTCTTGGAGCCACGTTGTAGGTGGTGGTTGGGGCTGGACCCCATGGATACGGCTGGGACAAGGTGGGGAGCAGGACATCCCAGCGTGGGAGCACCTGCAGGGCCTGGGTCTTCTCCCGGGCTGCTGTCAGCACCCAGCAGAGGCACCCTCTTGGCCACAGCACCCAAATATTTGAAAAAAAATCAAAAAGTTGAAAAAGTGGCACGCCGCCGTTGCCCACGGCCCTGGCTGCTGTGACCCCCGAGAGCTGCCAGCACCCCTCCTGCCCTGCCAGGGGGTTATTGTGGAGAAATGCTCTGCCTGGGCTGGCCAGTCCTTAAATTACCTGCCCAGACAGGGTGGTGGCCTCCAAGGAGGTGCTGAGCTCACGGGGCTGGGACATCCTGAGGCTCAGGTGCTCCTGATGCTGGGTCAGGGCTTGCTTGCTGCCTGCAATGATCTGCTCTGATAATTAATGTATTGCTGGAGCACCTAAATGAAAAATAATAAAAATTAAAAAAAAAAATAGGAAGAGGGTTTTCTAGCCCTACAGTGTAAGGAACAACCCAGAGGGATGCCCACAACCCATTGCTCAGATGCTTGCTCAGCAGCTGTGATCTTGGAAATGTTTTCATCTGTGGTTCCTGCAGAAAGAAACTGGTTTTGATGCAGTTGATACAGCCACAGATGTTTCCTCTGGGTAACTTTGACATCTCTTGGCTGCTTTCAAGGGGAGCAGGCGGGAGGCCCTGGGGGTGCTCTGCCTGGGGGGATGAGGTGCAAAGAGTTGGATGCTGCTGGAGGAGCTGTGGCAGCTTGAGCTGGGCTGTAGCAGGTCCTGGGCACCAAGGATGGGTTTGCCCTGGGCACAGAAAGCACTGAGCTGGGCTTGACCCCAAGCTGAGATGGGACCCAGGCAGGTGGGAGTGGGACAATGTGGGGACACAGAGAGCAAAACGAGCTAGAGAGATGGAAAATGAGCCCATCAAGCTCCAGTGCCCACAGGGGGGGAAACAAATCAACAGCAGCAAATGAGGCCCTAAAGCCTCTGTGTTAGTGTCCAGGGTTACAAAGCCACAGGACCAGGTTGCCCAAATGCTCTCCTAGGGCAGCCAGCATTGCCCAGTGCCCAGCAAGATGCTTGGCTTCAACCAGCACGTCCTCCAGCTCCAGCTGGGTCAGGCATTGAGGGCTGGTGACCCACCAAGGGTGCCCTCAGCAGCGCTTAGCACAAGACTCAGTCCATGGCTGAGAAAGCAGCTCCACCCCCACCCCTTCAACAAACAGCCTCTGCTTGGGGCTGTCCAGAGAAAAATGCAAAAAATGATATTTTGAAACGAGACATTTGGAAATGGGAGTGCATCCTTGCTCCAAGCTGGGACAGGGACCCAGAGGATGGAGGAGTTGCTGGGGCACGAAGAGGGTGGTCTGAAAGCCTCTGCCCAGAGCTCAAGCCCACTTGCACCCTGGAAAGCAAATCTGTGGTAGGCATGAAAGTTACCAGGTCTTTCCAGGCTCTCAGACATGCATTTCCAAAATCTTCATAGGGGAAAAAAAAAAAAACAACACAATAAAAATAATAGATGAAGCTCATTACACAAGCCAGACTCACGCTTGGCAGCTTCCAGCATGGAGCTCTGAATTTCAGCACAAAAATGTGCAGCACGCTGCAAATCTGGGGATGGGGAAGAATAACACAGTGGCAAGTAGATTTTAAATATGGTGGTGGGTGGGAAGGGGACCTGCAGTGGCCGAGGTCACCAGGAAGAGCCCCTGTTGGCTGGTGGCTCTTCCCAGAAATTTGGGCCGCCGCGGATCACCTCGTCGCCACCAGCCAGAGGAGGTGCTCACAACACCCCGCTGGCCATAGGAAGGCAGGGGGGGGTGGTGGTGAAAAAAATTGGCAGATGAGAAGGAGCAAGGTCCTACGAAACAGCATGTTCAGTGTTCTTTCCAATTTTAACTTCTCCTTGACCTCCCTTCGTTCCTTCCCAGCAGGGCTGGCTCCGCTCCGTGCCCGTCCCGCGCTGCGACGCCCCGGCCCAGACGGATGGGTTTGGTGGTGCTCACCCCACCCCACCCCACCCCACCCCAGCTGCGTTGCCATCCCTGGTTGCTGGGGCAACACGTCTCCCTGGAAATGCCACGGTGACGGCTTAGCCAGTACCAAAACAAAGAGGGGAACCCGAGGTGCTGGGGGTGCTGGGGGGCACCGGCTGCCCTGGGGCCAATCGTGGCACACGCGCCCCCAGGGGCAGCTGGACACTGCTGTGGGGTACAGGGAGTTATTTTGGGAGGGAAACGCCTGTTTTCTGTATTGTGCCTCTCAAGGACCCAGCAGTGATGGTCACCAGTGGTCTGGGGATCGCTGCAACATCAGGTGGGGAATTTGTTGGGTTTTTTTGTCCTCACTACGCCTGTTTTCTGTATTGTGCCTCTCAAAGACCCAGCAGTGATGGTCACCAGTTGTCTGGGGTTCGCTGCAACATCAGGTGGGGAGTTTGTTGGGTTTTTTTGTGCTCACTGCTATGTGCTGAGCAGTGCTGCAGCCTCAGGAGCACAGGGGACTGGAGGGTCACCTCCAGCCATGGCAGCTGTGGTCCTCAAGCACCAACACTGGAGAGCAGGTCTGCATTTGGAAAGAGGAGGCCAAGCAACGGCCCTTGCCAAAAGTCAGCACTTGTCTGTGTCCTCCCTCATTGCAGAGGGTTCTGGTCACCCTCTGCAGCACCCTTCTCCTGCCCACAGCACTGGGAAGGGACAAATGGAGCCACATCCCAGCAAAGATGCACCACGGGCAGATGTTGCCATGAACCCGGACTGGCTTCAAGACAGGACTTGAAGAGGATTTTCTGCTCAGGATGTGACCATGGGCAGAGCTCTGGGTGCTGCAGAGATGGAAACACACGACCTGAGGCCCTGTGCCACCCCTCACCTCAGAGGAGGCCAAGTTACTTAATTATTATTGATTTCATAATTATTTCTTGTGGAGGTCATTGCCAGGCTTATTTAAACCTCCTCTCTCAGCTGGGGAAGATAAGGTGAGGACTATTCTGGATACAGTCAAAATTAGCACTTGTTATTTGTATTCTTGTGCCCCAAGAACAAATTAGCTGGTACTTAAAAAAATTCCCAACAGTCATATC